GGGCACCTGGGTGGCTCATTTGGTTAAGTGTCTAACTTTGGTTCAAGTCATGATCTCATGGTTTGTGGGTTTGAGCCCCACATCAGGTTCTGTGCTGACAGCTCAGAGCCTGGAGCCTACTTTGGATTCTGTATCTCCCTCTCTCTCTGCCCTCCCTTGCTCATGCTCTGTCTGCCTCTCTCTCTCAAAAATAAATAAGCATTTATTTTAAAAACAAAGTTATTGTTACAGCTAAATGTGTCGAAAGAAAAAGGAGACAGTATTTCAAACTTCCTTGTTAATTTCTTTTTTTTATTTTTTTAATAGTTTATTGTCAAGTTGGTTTCCATATAACACCCAGTGCTCATCCCCATAAGTGCCCTCCTCCATACCCATCACCCCCCTTGTTAATTTCTTAATGAAAATCCATCATTCCCCTACACCCAACCTTTCTAAATTCCAGGACATCAAAATAATGTCAGTCAAATATTGGATTAATATTTCTAATCACTGGCATCTGTGTTTTAGGTGACATTTATGACAAAATAATGATACTTTTAAATTTGTTTTTATGGACTTTACAGTGCTTCTGGGCCTTTGGCACAATAAATTCTGGCGCATTTCACAGGATCTAGTGAGAGTTTATAGTGGCAGAAGTTTATGGATGTTACTTTACTGTTGTGAATAATTGCTTATCTGACTATATCTAATGCCATGCCACTGTCCAGAGGAGCTGCCCCTTACTTTACACAGTTGTCTTTTGGCATATGACATCTTCCCAGTGACCCTTTTGATAATGTGAGTGAAACATAGGCTGTGCGGTTATGACACAGTTAAACTGTCATATTTGCCTAATGTTGATGTGTCTGCAGTGGAGGTGGGGGCCTGTATCTGGAGTAAAGCTCTGTGTAAAGTTACATCAAACATGTTGTAGCCAAGGAAATCATTTCTCAACCAGTGGTTTCTGGGGGTCAAAGGAAGAGAGACCATTTAAGGATTTATGAATGATTTATAGTGCTAAAAATACATTCTGAATGGGCTATTGGTTTTATAATGGGGCATGGGGTACTTTCAAGGCACCTGTCAAATAAGTAGCGAGATTCCCATATAGAATTGGGGCTTCTGCTGAGGAGAACAACAGATATTAATGGCATCATTCCAGTGGTTCAATTACTTAATTACTTGTGGTATATTAGGGAGGAAGCCAGTTTATTATAAATAAAGGGTTGATTTACAGAATACTTCCTTTTAAGTAAAAGAAATATTCCTTATATCCTGGCCTGGTGGATGTCCTACTTATGAATGGAGAAGAAGGTCTGTGTTGGTACACCACAGCTCCAACCTGTGACCCTGGGAGGTGCATTTTATGAATCCTTTTAAATATTCCTCAAGAATTCCCATGTATGTTCCCAGTTGGCTTGACAAATGTTTCCTGTAGCCAGCACAGCCTTTCAACTGACCACCAGGCATTGGGCTTTCAAATTGGCACAGCCCAGATGTATGATACGTTGGTGTGTTTAAAATCAAGGGCATTGAGGAGGGCACTTGTGGGGATGAGCACTGGCTGTTATATGGAAACCAATTTGACAATAAACTATTTGTAAAAAAATAAAATAAAAATAAAATCAAGGGCATTTAAAAGCAAAATGCATAAGAAGAAGGTCCAGATTAATCCATGAAGTCCCCTTAGTCTTCTGTTGAAGAAGCTGCCTTCTGTGGGAGACAGTGGGTTAAAATAAACTTGTCAGATGTTCAGTGGCCCTGAAAATAAATTCACAACACCGAGGTCAACCCCAAACCCAAATAGTGAGCTAAGTAATTCAGCGGTTACAAACACAGCAGGCCTGTAAACATCGGCTATACACATTTGGATCATTTCTTTGTTATCTTCACCAGTTACTTCTAGTGTAATTAGAACCCCTTTAAAATTGAACTCCTGGGGCGCCTGGGTGGCTTAGTCGGTTGAGCGTCCAACTTTCGCTTAGGTCATGATCTCGCGGTTCGTGGGTTCCAGCCCTGCGTCGGGCTCTGTGCTGGCTGCCGGCTCAGAGCCTGGAGCCTGTTTCAGTCTGTGACACCCTGTCTTTCTGACCCTCCCCTGCTCACGCTGTCTCTCTCTCTCTCTCTCCTAGAAATAAATAAAACATTAAAAAAAAACTTTAAAATTGAATTCCTAATATAATCAGTAGCACATTGCTAGGGCTGTGAGGCCACTGCTTGACCATGCAGTTAAAGAGAGGCCACGTCGGGTGAGCATAAGGAATTAGCAGTTGATGTAGGTGAGCCCCTGAAAATGAGCCGTTATCATCATTGGTTCATTTTTCATCTCTTTTACAACAGGGCTGCATAAAAGGAAAGTAGTGGGGTGTCTTAATGGCTTCAGTTGCCATTTAGATGTATTCCTAACTATACATGTTGTAACCTGATGTATATTCATGTCTGCAAGTTACACTTGAGAGAAAACTAATGATGTCAACTTCTGCTGACATTCACCAGTGGGAGACTTTGTAAAGGATTTCAGACCTTTCTCTGCACTCTGTTATTTCTTTGTGGAATCTATGTACGAGGCATTTTCTTTCCATTTATTGTGTCTTGTGAGAGAAAACGGAAGTCAATGGGGCAGATATTTTTTTCTCCCTTTCAGACTGAAAGACAGGTTTAATCTTTTTTTCCTTCCTCAAATATTGTCTTTAAATATAGGTTTTTTTTTAATGCAAACTCTTAGCTGCTTATGGTTTTGCTCTTATAAAGACCACCCTGTTCTTTGTTCCATTTCATCCTGTCCCTTCATGTTCTGAAGTGTCGCTGTGGTATCCATTCCAGCTCCTAATTATTTGTCTGCCATTTAGCCACAAGGTGTAAATTTGCTAACTGAAAAGGCGTGCTCTGACAGTTAATCTCAGTGTATGTCCAAAGGCTGGGCTTGCTGCACTGGATAACTTCCCTGGGGGGAATGTTCTGTAGAATGTGGGGCCATTTGTTGAGCTGTCTGATGTAGAAGAAGAGAAAATGAAAGGACCTGCCAGAGAGAAGCCGGATCATACAGAGCCTTCAGAGCAAAAAGGGAAATCAAAGAACAATTTCAGGTCCACTTCAATCTCCAAGCGTGTTCCTGGGGACTAGGGAATCAGTGATAGTTTCTCATTCGAGTTTTTAGAGAAGTCTCTGAGAGAGAGCCCCAAATCAGGGGGCTGAGGCAAATTTAGAACACCCAAGGGCTGTGCTCAAAAATTATCACCAGTGCAGTACAATTCTGTCTAGGCCTGAGGTTTACAAGCTCTTCAAGGGCCTACAGAAATGTTCAGAACCAGGAGAAATATGTTGGTGTTGACCCTAAAATCTAAAAGTTATCTATAAGAATATTAAATGTTTAATTGAATGTCTGCAAATATTTAATATCAACTTCATTAAGTGTGAAATTTAGTCTTCTTAAAATTACATTCTATGTGAAAAAAATTATGGATTCAATTTCTCTTGTTCCAAGATTTCAAGCATGCTGATCATAGTTAACTGAATTACACATAGCCAATAACTTGAAGTATGATTATAAGAATCCTTTCCATTTTTTACATGGAAATGTATATTTTAGGTGGGACATGGGAGTATCTGAACCTCCTTACGTAAAGACACGTGTGGTAGGGGCGCCTGGGTGGCTTAGTCGGTTAAGCGTCCGACTTTCGCTTAGGTCATGATCTAGTGGTTCGTGGGTTTGAGCCCCGCGTCGGGCTCTGTGCTGACTGCCAGCTCAGAGCCTGGAGCCTGTTTCAGCCTGTGACTCCCTCTCTCTCTGACCCTCCCCTGCTCACGCTGTCTCTCTCTCTCTCCTAAAAATAAATAAAACATTAAAAAAAAAAATTATGTCCCTTTAAAAAAAAAAAAAAAGACACGTGTGGTAGGACTAAAAAGGAGAACCTAGGGTTTGTGAAGTTTCCAAAAACAGCTCTGCACTGGGTGGTCTTCTCTGCATGTGATTGATTATTCATGAAGATGTAAATTACCAAAGACACTAATGGGGAGGACCAGAGACTAGACTGGGAGTAGAGTTCCAGGTTGTTCTTGCTGTGTGCACCTGTAGTTGAGGTGTAGTGACAACAGCAGTCTGAGCATAAAGAAGGTCACAGGGCACCTTTACATCATTTGAAAGATCACAGGGTGGTGCCCTGGTTCTGCTGAAGGAGTGCACATATTAAATTGGCAAAGCAAAGCCATCCAGTTGGGCCATGTTAGAACTCCGATGTCCCTTTGTCGGAGTAGTGTTCTCTCCTAACAGATGACTAGGCCCGCAGGCACCCTTGCGTTTTAGTCAACTTCCCTTTACTTGACAAATATTTCCATTTTTAGAACGGCAAACTTGAAGTCAGGGAGGCAGAGAAGGTATATTATCCAAATTCTGTGTGTGATGATCTTAGTCTTTAATCCAGTGGTCCAACTTCTTCAGGTTTTATTTTATTTACCATATGTGGGGTGGTGAATGTGGACTCTCTCCAGAATACTTGAAAGAACATTCTTCCTTGTGATCCCAACCCCAATAATAACCACTAGCAAAAGTTTGGTATGATTCTTACAGAATTTTTTTGTTACGTATACCGAAGTATTGTTAATTTATTTTCATTTATAACATGAGATGACAAATAAGATTTTAATTTTTTTTTCACTGGAGCAGTATATCTTAGATATTTTTGCGTGTCTATGCAAGTATCCTTACCTCATTTGTTTTAATGGCCACATGGTATTCCGCTGCATGGATGGGCCATAATTGATTGAACTGCCCTCAGTTGCTGGGCATTTGGGTTGGTCATCCAACTTTGAGTGTTCAGGAGAATGTACCATGTGCCTAAATAAGCCATTATATATTGGCTAGTAATCTATACTTGTTGACCCTCTGTGTTGGTTCCTTCCTTCCCAGAAGCAGAAAGAACCAATCTTTCCTTATAACTGATGCTTGTCATTAAATGTAAAACCTCTGTGTGATTCACCATGTATTTATTTGTCTTTTGTTTTTGCCTTTTTCTCTCACGCAGTCATCTACAGCCAGGGACAAAGATGAGCAGGCCCTACCGGTAGGAGACAGCGGCTCTGTCTGTACCTGTTTGTGTGCCTGTGGAGAGTGTGGGGCCAGGGAGGGGGGAGGAGAGCTCCTGTGCTCAACAAACCATCCTCCCCCTTGGGATACGTAAATGGTTTAATCTGTCCTATGATTAGTGTCAACTGTGTTCTGATATTCACTGATGTTCAAATTATTTCTGGAACTAGGTTTCAAAACATTTGAGTTCACTCTTTCATTTGGCATAAACTTTTATAGGAGTTGAAAGAGTGAAATATTTCCTGATTGCATCCCAAGGGAGGTTGAGCTGAAGTTTGGGGATGGTTGTGGGATTGAATGCTTGATATCTGTTTTCTTCGTGTATCTGCATGCACCTAAGTCTTTGTTAGAAATTTCTTTTGGTTCCATCAAAAGAAATGCTGCATGAGAGCTGTGTGTTTAATATATATATAATACCCCAAAGAATGCTTTATGTTCTTCTATAGATAGAATCCTTCGCTAATGAAGATATCCACAGCAAGGTTCTTCCAGTTTCCTAGAGTGAGCATAGTAACAGTGGTTATGACAAATTATTAACGACAAACACATTTTCCAGTTCCTGTCCAATTAACACATCACATTCTGTAATGTGCAACATGGCAAGGAAATGACCTTCAGAGTTTTATGTGCAGCCGTCAAATAGTGATTACATTTCAACTCTATTCTAGTCTCTTACCCTTGCCCCTAAAATACTCTGAGCCTTAATCATCTGAATCAAATAACACAAGGCATTAAAAAATGTTACAGGCTTTTAAGACTGAAAAAATACTAGTAATAAAGATACATATGACCCCATCCCTCCTCCTGTTGTGCTCAGAGCAGAGACTTATGAGATTCATTGAGAGCCCCTAGGATAAACCAGATCTGGTGCTGGACTAGAGATACAGGCCCAGTCTCTTCCTTTTAGGAGCTTGTCATCTGGTTCACAATTGAGACATCGGTAATCCCCTCTGATTCCTCTTCAATCAGAGTTCAGAATATGATTTCTGATAGAATATCAATTATAATAAAATCACACTGAGAAATTCCGATTTCTCCATGTATCTCACCCTGGCACTTTACCCATACTTCAAGTTACTGTGGGTTCCATGTTTGTCTCCCAGTGTATGGACCATGATTGTTAATAAGTATTCTACTAAATAAGGGACCTATGGGCACTGTCCAAGACAACTAAGTTAACGAAATTTCCTTAGTGTTACGTTTAGAAGTCCAGTGTGTATCTTAAAATGCTAATGGTGGGTTGGTCTAGGAGGTGGTACTTGCCAAATGTATTTGATTGTGGGACTCTTCTTGGAAAGCCCCCTGTGGGTCTTGAGTGTGATGCAATACATTGGAAAACCCTGTAATGGAGATGGTTGGAACACTTTGTAGGAAATCGTGTTTGATTTTTACCTGCCCCCCCCCACATTTTATGTCACAATTTTGGATGAGAAGTTCAATAAGCATTTAATTCTCTCACACTACATTACCTCCCTCCCTCTAAAACCCAGCTGTCTGTAAAGCTCAGCTGCGTCTGAAGCCTCTTTCCCTGTGAGAACTAGCACAGACTCAACCACAGAAGGAGAAAGCAGTTCCTAGTCAGGATAAAAAAATCCATCAAATCCAGACGGTTTAGGGTTTCTTTTTTTAGATGATTTGCTTTTGAAGATGCCATGAAAAGAGTTTGTAAGTAACCTCATCTCTACAAGTTCTTTCTTCCCCTCTTACCTGTCAGCTTAACTTAATTAGCCAAAAGGTCACACTAGTAGTTTACACAAAAGGAAGACCCCCTTGGACATCAGGAAGGTTATCTGTGGATTCATAATAAGAGATTCTTTCTCTTCAAATCTCACTCAATACACACCATAGGCTGTGGTTCTCAGGGTAGAAGTGAGGTATTCCAGGGGATATGCAAGATGTTCCTTTGGGGAGCAAGGAGAAAATATTAGCAGCTCTATCATTTACTTCCTATATTCTTCATAATTTCTACTTTTGCAAATGTTTTATACTACATATGCTCCTATTTTAGTATGTGTGGATATAGAGATAGCAATGAGTACCTATAAGCATACTCAAAAATTTTATGGATAGGGTGTACAGTTCAAATATTTTAGGCATCATCCACTGGTTCAATAACAGATTTTGAGAGAAGCAAACCTGAGATCCATTCTTCGATTTTCATCTCTGTGACCTGGACACCTCATCTCACTTCTCTGAGACAAAGTTTCCTTCTCTTTCTACAGGGAATAGTGACTGCAGCTAGTTCATAGGGCTTCTTTTGAGATTGAGGAAAAGTAATGGAGGCGAAGCATGTAGCACATTGACTAGCATTTACTAAGCTCCCCTCCCCCAGCCCCCAAAACACAGTAGCAACTGATCCACTTAGGATGTGAGAAAGTAAGATTTGAAATGTACTTTGAAACTCTTTCATCCAATGGTGTGCGATCATGTGACAGAAATGAGTGCCCGCCAGACCGAGTGAGATCCTATCTGTAGTACACTTGCCTGTAGTTTCTGAGAACTAACAGCATCTTCGTCTGGTTTCTCTGCTCAGGCCAAGCCACGTCTCCAGCGAGGTGGAAGTTCTGCCTCCCTCCACAACAGCCTCATGAGGAATAGCATCTTTCAGCTCATGATTCACACCCTTGACCCACTCGCTGAAGGTAAATGTCAGGTGTTAGTTTGGGAGCTCGTTTGGGGGTCAAGAGGATGTGAAACGGCTTCGCTTCTGAAAATGTGTTTACGCTTCCAACACACAAGCCTGCCAGTGTCCTCGTGTGGAGCATCTGCTAGGAAGTGCTGGCCCCTTGGCATGCTTTATCTGCAACAGCTCTGTTCACAATTGGAGAGTCTGGTACCAAGAGTAGGATCAGGGGTCTGTATACTGGTTCTCTTTTGATGCCTCCAGCATAAATAGTTTGTTATGAGGAAGAGAACACAAAAAGGCTTCTCTCCCTTCCAGCTAGAGTGATGGTTCTCTTTCATTATCCCTCCTAAGTTCCAAAATGAAGTTGTGTATGAAGATTTATTGTGCATTTTAAAAAAGAGAGAGAAGGGGACACCTAGGTGGCTCAGCTGGTTAAGTGTCCGACTTCGGCTCAGGTTTGGGAGCTCGAGCCCCACATTGGGCTCTTTGCTGTCAGCACAGAGCCCACTTCAGACCTCTGTCCCCCTCTCTCTCTGCCCCTCCCCTGCCTGCTCTCTCTCTCTCTCTCACAAAAGTAAACTTAAAAATTATTTTTAATAATAAGTAAATGAGAAAGAGAGAGAGAGAAACTCCATGCTTAATAGGGTCATGAATAGTTTGGGGAATGATGTTCACTGTAAAACGTTTAAATTGTCCTGATTCTTTGACAGTTGGAGAGTGGTTGGTGAGCATCCAAAGAGCCTTCTCGAAGGTAAATGCTTAGGACCAGTCACTGGGGACCTGAAAGGCCTAGTTCATCTCCTAGGGTAATCATATGAACCATCACAAAGAATCCAATATTGTTTTCTTCCAAGTTTTACTCATTCACAATGAAGGCAGACCCACTGTGTTTCTTAACTTGCATAACTATCCTAAAACAATTAAGTTTCCAGTAGGTAGCTATCTTATGTGTCAAATGAATCACAGTTAGGCTGCTAACAGGGGGTTCAAATGTAAGCTAGTCTGTTCTCTTTTCATCTCTGGACCTTATAATTGGACCAGATGTTACATGGGGGCCAAAAGGGATCATTGGAGGAATATGGCCGGGGACATGTGGGATGAGATTGTCAAATCATGTCACATAAATCTGAGGTCTTACTCAATATAAAGCTTTGCTGAATAATTTCAGAGGTACAGGTCATCAAGAGATTCTGATAAAGGAAAAAATTCAGGGGACCTCACAAGAATGGCTCCCTAGGTCCGTTCTTCCCTCACTAAATACATACCTCTCACCCAGAATAATAGGTGGGGATCATGGGGTCACCTCTTACTACAGAGCATTTTGACTCTGAAACATCTCCATTTCATTCCCACAGAGAGTTGTATAGTTGATATGATATTCTCCAAGGAGCCCTGCTTCATAGACACTGAGTCCTCTTGGCTAGAGGTAATCTTTAGCTGGGAGCATCCTAAATATAATTACTCTCTTTACCCAGAGGCCCACTAGACAAGGAATTACATGTGGTCACTAGCCCTCTCTTCCTTCTCTTGGGTCCCCCCCATTCCCCCAGAGAAGGGAAGGAAGGGATGGGAGGTCAACTTCCTCCCAGCCACTAAGCAGTTGTGTGACATTGGGCAAATGAGAGTCTCTCTAGTACTTGGTTTCTTCATCTATAGTAATAGTTGCCTTTGTCTAGCCCTTGACAGTTGACAGAGCATTGTCACCCCAGTGAATTTATACTTTATAACTACACTTCAGAGCCAACATTATTATTCTAATTTTGTAAAATCTCATACCACCAACATAGATCTAAGATCTACCTACTCTCTGCCAGCTCTTGACTCCAAACTATCCTTATCATTTTCCTGGATTCCTGCAGAGCCCTGGATTTCCACCACCTCATTGCCTCTTCCTCTGTGTATTATTCACACAGCACCCCTCACGTAATCCTCTTACAAAGTAAATCAAATTATGCCACTCCTGCTTATAACCTGCAGTGGTTTCCCACGCCTCTTGGAACAATTGTGAAATGTTTATCATGGTGTATAGGATATGCCTGTTTCTCCAAACTCAATTTGACTCCCTTTGCTTTAGCCATGGGGGGTCTCTCTGTCTCCAGTCAGGTACTTCTTTCCTGCCTCAGGGTCTTTGCAGAGGCTGTTCCCCCCACCCAGAATATTTTTCTTTCTCCCACTCTCTTCCACTTTCCCTGCACATTCTTCAGCAAGTTGTCTGCATGACACTTCCTGACCATCTGGTACAAGTCAGGGCCCCACTCCTCATTTCAGCACACCCTTTCATTTTTCCTTATTGCTCACATTATAACTTGTGTGACTCTTTACCGCCTGTCTCCCTGAGGATGCAGTAAATTGCTACAGAGCAGGAACTCTATTTAATTCACTAGCTTCCCCCCAAACTCTAGCAGAGTACCTGGCGCATAGTAGCTACTAAAACTCAGAAAGATTAAGCAAGGTGGCCAAAGTCAGGCTTTTGACCTGATAGTCACAAAATTTCAAAGCCTTCTAATGCCCGTGGGTTTAAAATGATGTCTTGGTTATTTTGGGCCACTCTCTTTTCCACCCCCATCATCCTGAAGGGCCACATAAGAGAAGAAAAGAACCATTTAACTGTCCCAACTTGATTATGAGCAGGCAACTGAGAATGTTTATTTTTTGCAAGGCAGCATTATGTAGTAATTAAGAGGATGGACTCCAAAGCCAAACTCTGTGGGTCTAGATCCCAGCTCTGCATTTACTAGCTGTGTGACCTTGGACAAGATACTTAACCCCTCTGTACCTCCATTTCCTCATTTGTAAAATCAGGATGTCTCCTTCATAAGGTTGTTGTAAGGATTAAAGGAGTGAATATGCATAAAGCATTTGATGCATTGCCTAGCAAGTCATAAGAACTATATACAGGTTTAGAATTATCCTATTTCATTACTCAGAAAAAATAATTCATCATGGTTCTTTTTAATTTAAAATATGCAAAAGGCTAAGATTAAAAAAATGTCTTCCTCCTCCATCAGTCTCCCAGTTTTCTCCAGTCCTCAATTCTTCCCAGAGAAAACTACACGGTAACCAATGTCTCGGGACTCATTCCAGAGACATTCTATGCGTATACGAATGTGTGTGTGTGTGTGTGTGTGTTTGTGTGTGTCCATCCTTGCCTGGAGACCTCCACAATCTAACTTTCCCTGGTGTTTGTTTGAGAGACTTCGGTTCTGGTGGGGCCTTTTGTTGTTCTTCCTGTTTGGTGGGGGAAGTAATGCTTTGTTTCCGTGAGATAAGACAGAACGAATCTGGGTTCATCTCGGAGTAGGGCCATCAGTGATTTTCCGAAACACCTGGCCCTTGTGGGGCCATGTGCAATTAAAGTGCTTGTTCCTGCTATAGCAAGATGTGCCTTCTGAATCCAGCGCCTGCTTTCAAGGTGAAACCTCTCCCTGAAAGACAGGGAGCACTCTAGCAGTATGAGTCTGTGAGAACGCTGAGAACCACATAATCAGTTCTGGACTTGAGTGATTAGAAAATATGGAAAGCACTTCAATGCTTTAAAATTACTCCATAGCACACAGCCAAGAAAACAGATTGCTCTGGTATTTTTCCCCCAAAATTCACAATCGTTTTCCATTCCAAGAACAGCCAAAAGAAATTAACCCACTGCTCTCAGAAATAGCCTTCTCTCTTAGATGATAGTCTGCATCTAATCACTTGAACTGACACGTCCTTATGCGAAACTGTCACCTTTTCACAACGTAGAACATGCTGGTCGCACCATTGGTGGGTGGTGTGAACACTGCTGTAGCTTCCTATTACGATGAAGGTCAGTTCAATGCTGCTCCTGGTGTTTACCTAGATGGGCACTGGCACCACAGGGCGTACATTCAGTGTTCACAGAGGAAGTGTTCACCTTCGTTTGGAAACCTTCTCTAGGACCAGTGGCTCATGGATAGACATTTCTCTTTGACTCATCCGTGCCACTCAAGTGTTTCTGTTTCCCACCACCCAGTGATTGAGCTGTTGACAGATGCCTTCACTGATGGATGGTTCAGCCTCTGAACCTGAGTCAAAAGATCCAGCAGTGTTTGGGTTTCAGTTATCTATTGCTATGTAACAAAGCGGCCAAGATGGAAGCGGCCCCACCATATTGGGGCACCTGGCTGGATCAGTCCATGAAGGCCCTGACTCCTGACTTTGGCTCAGGTCATGATCTTGGGGTTTGTGAGTTAGAGTCCCACATTAGGTTCCATGCTGACAGTGTGGAGCGTATATAGGATTCCCTTTCTTCCTCTCTTTGCCTCTTGACCACTCTCACTTTCTCTCTCTCTCTCTCTCTGTCTCTCAAAACTTATAAATAAGCTTAAAATAACTAGATTTAAAAATAAATAATTGTTGTAGAAACTAATTTGACAATAAACTATTTGTAAAAAATAAATAAATAAATAAATAAATAAATAAATAATTGTTTTAAAAAAAGCACCAGGTGCCTGGGTGGCTTACTCAGTTAAGCCTCTGACTCTTAATTTCAGCTCATGTCATTAACTTGTAGTTTGTGAGTTCGAGTCCTGCATCAGGCTCCATGCTGATAGTGTAGAGCCTGCTTGAGATTCTCTCTCTGCCCCTTTCCTGATCATGCTCACTCTTGCTCTCTCTCTCCTTTTCTCTCTCTCTCTCAAAACTTATAAATAAGCTTAAAATAAATAAACTTAAACATAAATAAATTTTTAAAAAAGCACCAGGTGCCTGGGTGGCTCAGTCAGTTAAGCCTCTGACTCTACCATCATATTATAATTGCTCATGATTTCATGGATCAGGAATTTGGGCCGGAATCAGTGGGATGATTCTTCAGTTCCATGTGGTATCAGTGGAGGTCACTTGCTGTTATACAGTAGATGGACTGGTTAGAGAGTCCAACTGGGCCTAATTCATGGGCCTGGCACCTTTGGAACTAGAGTAGAAGGCTGGACTCAACTGGATACCACCCCACCCTCCACTCTCCATGTTATCTCAGGGCCTTTCCACATGGTTAGATGC